ATATAAAAATATCAGCAAGCAAGGCTTAAAATAGGTCATTTCCAAAATTATAATTTATTCCTAACATAAAGTATTTCAAAGCCCAGGCAAGACTCAACAGGAATAAAATATCGTTGGACTGGATTAAATGGCGAGTCTAACAATAATGGGTCATCTTTAACAAAATATTTCTAAAAGCTACATGTATGTAAAGCATGAGGTTTAGAATGGTTTGTGTTTTTAATTTTGATTAAAATGGTCTATTGGATTACAGAAAAAAAAATCCCTTTTGATGCTGTAAATATCAGCAGGAAGATCGCAAGTCAGCAACAACAAAGTATAACCCAACATTGAGAATCACAAGTGGTGGGAAAGGGGCGAGACATGCTCAGTGTGTATCATGGTGAATGCACCTTACTAACATCGGGCTGGAGCTACAGGGTGCCACCTTTATGAATGTCGCGTGTCCAGAGGTCTTTTATACCTTGCAGTATAACTCTCCTGAACAAATCCGGGTGACACATGATATGATGTGGTATGATATGGGTGTCACTCGCACATATTCGTACATATTTGATCTTCATCAATTTTACTGCAGCACTTTCTTGTTGTTACTGTCTTTGATGTCTGTAAGTGTGACGCCTCCAGTTCCCCAAAGGTACAATTTTAATTTCTGAAAGGACACATAATAAATCTTATCTAATCTTAAATGTTTATGACAAGATTTTAGGAGGAGAAAATATGCTTTTTTTTGCTGACACAAAGTGCCCTTCACTGTAGCAAAGCTATAACACTTTACTGTTCTAGTTTAACAAGCCTGTAAAATGCAGCTTCTCCTGCCGGAAGACACACAGCTACTTCCCACTATAGATGTGTTTTACAGGGAAGGATGAATATGGGTTCCTGGATTCCTGGGTTACTTTCCTAGATGGGAAAAAATCCTTAGAGACACCTCCTCACCTCCATGAGGACCTGTCGGCACGCTCCGCATGGTCCAACAAAGCGGTCTTTGATGTCACTGCATAGAGGAGAGGAGAGGATGAGCGCTCGGGAATATGTTGCAACGTGCTTTGTTGAGACTGAGTGTCTTACCATGTCACAGCGATGGCGCTGAACTGTGTGTGGCCCTCCACCACAGCTCTCTGGATGGCAGTCCGCTCGGCACACACCGTCAGTCCGTAAGATGCATTCTCCACATTGCAGCCTGGAATCCCAACAATACTTAGACCACAGGTTCTTTTACAGTGCTCTAGGCATCGTAAAATCATATTTGATATCTCCGGCTTTTGAAAAGCAATCGTACTTTGTGAGGTGTACATTTGGGTCTGACTGTTTTACTGCCTTCTCTTGGTAAGTCAAAATCTGTGATTCGTAAATTGTTTTATAAATAAAGTCTGCCGAAACTATTAAAATATATAAAAAGAATTATGATAGGAAATCGCCTCTGTCAGTTTTATTTACTTTCTATAGAGATCACATTATTGTATTATAACTTCTGCATGCCGTTTTTACTACTGAACCAAGTTACAGACAATAGAATAGAATAGAATAGCAATATCCTTTATTGTCTCTCATTGGGGAAATTCACAGCCAAGTTAAGCTCAGTGCCAGATGAGATCAAAGCGGATTGGATAAGATAAAGTTTATAGGTTTATTCCACGAAATGAAAGTTTCACTGCAGCAGCACATGAGCACATCGGCATTATGAGGAGCTACAAAATCCTGCGCAACAAACAAACTATAACATTTACTACAGTGTAATATACACAAACATGTATATTAATTATGAGTCTGAGGTTATAGATAAACACAAATTCACATATTAGAAGAACAGTGACATAAAAGTGAAAATTGAATAATGTTATATAGTGAGTAGTATCGGTGGAAGAGTACTTGGGTTCATTTACTGTCGTTAAGAACATAGACCATTGAGTGCACACTAGAAATAAAATTCAGTGCACTGACTTGCAATCGAATCAACCTAAGTAAACAAATCTAAATATCAAAACCTAAAATATATACATGTGAGCATATAAGAAAAATGCTTATATACATGTGATAATTAAGAAAAGCACAGGATCTTAGAAATGAATAAATATTGTATCTGGTTTTTGTTGCTTGATTATAAAAACCAGTGCATTAGTACACGAGAAGCATACGAGTACTATAACTGCTGTTGCTGTTGTGCTGTGGTTTTATCACAACATTTAATCTGCAGATAGACTAATAAGCACATAAAAAGCACTATACTGGCCCCCGAAATGAAGCCACCTTTAATTGCACTTAAGGACAGTAGCCTGCTTGCTTAATTGCACTTTTATCCATTACTTAATATTACGGTATCTATGACACCCGCACTTTATGAGCTTGCAAAACACACTCCTCTCTGTTATTACCTGTGATTATGGCGCCATCTGCTGTCAACACGGCCGCACCGACAGGGAAGCGGCTGTATGGACAGTAAGCCTTGTCCCGAGCCTGCAGGCACTTTGAAACGAGCTCCTTTACTTGATCTGCGCATGACAGGCAACAAACCTGTGTGAGCTGTAATTAAACAAATGACCCCCGAGGCTGCTGAGACTCCGTGAGGGGTGAGAGGGGTGCACTTGCCTGTCATTGTAGCTGAAGACGCTTCTGGATTATGTCACCTTATCCAACTACGCTGTCCCGTGACAAAGAAATAAACTATGGTAATGCAAGTGGATTTTAATTCAGGTCTGCCGACGGCTGCCAGGGGGTCGCGAAACTAGGAGGCTTTGTGACAGCTGTTTACCGTTCACGTTATTGGCTGGCATGGGTGCAGCGTCATCGACCAGACTGGGACCGTTATGTCAGGACTGCAGAGGACCTGACTTTTGGCTATAGCGAATCACTTAAATTTTTAATCAGACAAAGTAAAACACTCGGAGGTTCTACATCACCAGAAAGTGTGAATAAAGCTGCTGTGGTGTAAGGCAGAGCGGGGCATGTTTACTAGTTTTAATGCTCGGACATATTTAAGGCATCCAAACTGAACAGATGGAAGAAGAGGCAAGGGTTTATTGTTTCCTCTATTGTTCATCTGTGTTTCCTGCATACTTAGAAATAAAGTCATCAAGAACTTTCCTAAATTCCATGAGTGGGTTAAACCATCACAATGATTTGAACAAGCATCTCTGTATTCAAAGCTCTCCGTGCCAGAGGCTTTCATTGTAGTGCAGAGCTGTTCAGTGAACCACACCGCTGCACCGGCTCACGTGTTTGTTCATTAAAAAGAACACAGTCACTTGCTAAAAGTACAAATTCTGCTTCCGTGGGTCTCTTATACACGTTGCTCCTGTGTGAATTACATTTGCTATGCAGTCCAGTGTTTTCTAAAGAGATGTGGTGGCGGTTTAATGCACAGTCATTGTTGCGCTTCACATCATTATAATTTGTTTTATTATTTTTGTAATTCCAAAATAAGTTCTTCTGCTCTAGATTAATATCTAAATATTAAAGCTTCCAGTTTGGATTTAGGAGACAGACACTTTTTCTACTTTCTTTTTTGATACAGCTTATAGTTACTGCTGGATTAGGTGACCCTGAATGGTGCTGGAGGTTTCTTTCTGTTAAAAGGGATTTTTAACAGGAATATAAATAAAACTGAACTGAAATTGAATAGATTGCTTTTAGTGAAAAATTATTTGCTCGTTTTGAATGAGAAACGTTTCCTGTAAAGTGGCATGAAGTCACAAATATTTATGCCCACGTTAAGTAATTTGATTACATGTAAAAAAAAAAAAATGTCCCTGTAATTTTGTTATTTAAGTACAATGGAAATATTTAAATGAAATGGAAATTTGGGTCATTGGTACACAGTGAATCTACAACAAGCACTTTTCATTAATGATTAATTATTTCAAAAAGAAATCAAACTTTGATTTGTATTTGTCAGCTGCATTTTATTCAGAGTTATTGCTCATGTTTACGAGGGCAAATAGTCTTTTTATAGTGACATGTTTATCTGTGTAGTGAATCGTCGTCATGCAGCACAGTGCGTTCAGTGCTTTCTTGAGAGATAGAGAATTGTAAATGTGTCAGCAGTTCCTGGGCTCCTCTCATACATGCTGCATTTTGAAATTCACCAAATATTTTTGGTGGGTGGCAGGTCTGAGATGGATTCAGGCCTTTTTGGCATCATCCTTCCCCGAGAACCCTCTAGGTACCATCACAGGTGATGGAGTTTGACCTGAGTGCTGATACTTTCATAGTTGTAAGTCCACGCAGTCATTTCTAGTACACATTTTTGTCTTCTCTGTTTTTTTATATGCTGTCCAGACTCTGAGCCCAAAGGATCTGGACATTTAGTACTGTTTCTGTGACTGAATGAGTGATTGATTCATCAGGTGCATGGAAAAAAATCATTATCAGCACACCCTTCAATGACATGAGCAGATGGTGGAATGTGCTTTTATGGCACTATCATTTGTTATATTGACAGATGCTATAAATGTAGTCAATGTGAGCTGATTAACCCCTTCTGTAGCTTAAAAACGTAATTAAGAAATTAAAGTAAAACAAATCAGCGAACAATGATGACTCGTGTTGGATGAAACTTAAGGCAGCGGGATGTTGTGTTTCAAGTGCTGAACTGTTTGGTTTAAATCTTTACTGCAATGCTTAAAAACATTACAAAAATCTTTACAGAATCTTATAGGTAACCAATCAGCTCGAGTCTCGACATTTCATAATGTTTTTAAGTATGGTTCACATGACATTGTTCATTTCAGAGCTGTGTGAAATCATACAACGATGGCAGTTTTCTCCCAGCCTCTAAGACTAAATGCACCAATCTCTCAGATCACCACAAAATCCCAAAGAGAACATTCATCCACAATATTCATTTTACTAGATTGCATTAATATCAGATTTAGACATTAGATTTGGTAGGTGAAGCAAAAGACACCGTGCTCCACCAGTTTCATTAAGCTTGGTAGACACACTCTCATCAGGATGTACAGTAAGCCAAGCCCGTTTCTCTTTGCAGTAATGACCTCAGATCTTCAGCAGGTATCAAAGGGCATTTAAGAGAAT